AGACACCCTAAGGCTAGTACAGAAGATCCGATCGGTTTTCGTAGTACTGAATTGATAGATGGCGATTACAACAACTACTCCGCTGTAGTTTCGGAAATTTTGGCAGCTTTCTTATCAATATCCAATTCTCACAACATAGGTAAAAACATGGGTAAGTGTGAAGGGCTGGCGGGATGTCTGATTCTCAAAAGTGTTGAGAATCAAGGTAGTGATTCACGCTGTAAGTATACACACACAGCGGCCTTGTACACATTAGCTGAGATTAATAAGAAACAATCACTAAACCTGTCCAACGATCGACATGGGTAAACCTTTATGTACAAAGAAACAAAAACATTAACCTATTGATTGAGGACCTACAGTACATGAACCTTGTTAAAATCGCATTTGTGTCGTATACATTGATTAAGGGTGTGATGCGACATCTTGCCAACTTATCTCCTTAAAATCTATACAAAAATTAGGAATATTATTTATATTTCTATTCAAGTATTAATCTGTTCTGGAAGAAGAAAAATGAGGTAGAGAAAAAAGATGACATTCAATTATTTTCATACAAACAACTTTTCACTGTTTTTGTAGAGTGGTTATTTTAACAAGCTATATATAAAAATACAAATTCACAAACCTTTTCGCATATTGTTAATCCTACAATTTCAGAGTGTTACAGAAAAGAAGGAAAGAACGTCTCTTCAATGTCAAGATACGATATGCTAGCGGGTCACCTTTAAAGAGAGCTGAATTTATATAAATATGAATTTGAAATTAGAAAGTGATGTATGCTAATATTAATAGCGAGGTGTTTTCGGTGCAAATGAAAAATGTCATTTTATTAAGAGCGTTATGGACGTTTGCGTACATGCAGGTGCAGAAAATTAAAAGTAGTCATATAGACTTGGATTGGTTAGTCTACCTTTTCAAATGATAAATATATTTTGTAAGGTATAACAAGTTGTTTTGAAATCAAAGAAAGATATTTTGTGTCAATGGCTAATTTCCGCCCCATTAGAGCCGAGAGGCTAACCGACTGAGTGTGATATTGACTACAGTGTATGTACTACCCCGTCTGTGGTTGGCAAAGTAATTCATTCAAAAACTCGCCGTACTCAATACATGTATATTTCTATGAATAATTTGAAAATTATAAGCATTAGACGTTGCAGGCCATATAACTTGTCAGTCTTCAAACGAAAATATAACTTTTGATTTTCCTTGATTTAATAATCAAAACTTAAGCTATATAAGTAGTCTGAAGTTTATTATCCCTCTATTCACTCATGAAATTTCACCTATATGATAATTATTTCCCAAAGGAAACCTAATTTATAATTAAAATGCACACAGTTTCATCACACCATGCGGGGAAAATGACAGAAACTTGATAATTTTATAAAGGAATAATATTCCTTTATTTCAGTGAGAGTTGTCTCTCTTATCAGAGGGTCGAGGAAGCTTAATCCACATTCTAAAGAATTCAATTTCATCTACTTTTCCTATGTTAAACTTTTCAAATGAATGCTTGAATTTGAATATTGATTAAAATTTTGCAGTCAATTCGATTTCTTTTAATTTTTTTCCTTGGTATACATACAGACCTTCTGGATCGTTTTATTTATTTTTTTTTTTTATATAAATAAATGTTTCATACTTTTTATCCCACAGAGATTTGGGCCACGCATTGCAAGTGTATCAGGACATGAAGAAAATTGAAATGTACTGAAAGTATACCATGAAACTTTTTTAAATACGTATATAGTAAAGGAACAGGCGATTCTAATAAAAGAACAGATGACCACATTAATGGTTTCATTATGTCACCTTGTAAGGATGCACATCCACTGAAACAAAAGTTGAACTTAATTACCCACAGGAACTTTGGACTAGCAAGTTCAGTTGAGAAAAAGGGGGTCCAAGAAAACCGATGGAAAATCGGTATGTCAGGAAGAATGGACAAAATACTAAAGAAAGAAGAAATTATTCAGCAGTTTCCCATGTAAGCTTAATCGGAAAACAAATCCCAATTAACAGTAGAAACGAACAGTTACAATGTAGTATTATACCAACTAATAGAGAAAAGAGTGTCAACATACCATCAAGTAGTTAATTAATATGAGATCTGTCTTTCTACATTTAATGAGAAGTATAGGTATTAATGTTGGAACAAAACTTCAACAGAATAAGACGTCAATCAATCATAATTAACCCTTCCAATCGTTCTTACATGTAGCACATACATCTACCATTTATGCAAAACAGCTCTGTTCAGATCAGATACTTATTCGCTGCAGCATTATAAATATGATCACGTGACAATGGAGTTTCAAAAGCAAAACAGTAGTTTCTGGGACAGCTTCATCGATTTTCTCCGATACACAAACACCGATAGTGACACAATTTATCTTAAAAGCTTCAACAAAACACACTGAAATCGATACATTAAAGAGAATTGCAAATATGAAAACTATCTTGCTTTTCAGAACACTGCAATCAGTTGTCGATTAACCCTTTTTTTTTGATGTTCACATCATACCAGCTTCTGATGAGATGAGTTTAATCTCAGTAATGAAACACTCATCTGGAAAATTGCAACCAAATACCAGAATTTGCAATTATCGCACAGACAAATTGAAACTCGTGCTGTTTAAGCTGGTATTGAATTTCGCATTTTCAAATGCAGTAGAACAAAACTTAGAGTATACATTGTATTGCTTTTACAATACTAGTAGATTTAAAACCATTAATTTCAGCTGATGTTATATTTTGTAACACAGTCTAACATTTATTAGGCGCGCTATACAATAATGCTTTATATTGTCATTACATTGATTTCTCCTATGTAACGAATCAAAAATGTTTTTGGCTTATGAAATGCAAATCAAGAATTCAAATTATCAATTAAAAGAAATCGGAGTTCTAAGGGGAGGGATAGATCAAAATTGCTCTCTGTTAGAAATAGAAGAAGGTTAATTTATTTTCATTAGCTTGTATTATACATGTATAAATGTACATGTACTTGTTGCTGTCGAAACAAGATAAGACAGGATTGTTACAAAGCAAAGTGCCATAATATAAACAAGATACATTTTTTTTTTTTTTTGCACAGAAGAGGAAATTCAAAATAAAGAAAATTAGAATTTGTACAGACACAAATATAATAATCACGTGTAAAAAGTTTCACAGATATATGAGTTTTAAAAATTCTTTAATTTTCAGAAACATTGATCTGGCTTGCAAATAGTCATTAAATATTATAATATGACACACGATGTACGTTTTAATGAACTACCCCTTGGAGAATTTATTTCCCTTTTTGCTTTGATTTCCGATAAAAAGATTTCAAAGAGTATTCTTTTTTCTGAAAATTCAATGCTTGGCCGTTTTCTTAGAGGAGCCTAAATTTTACATTGAATTTTTTTTTTTACACACATAATAATGAAACATGGTTCAGTGACCGTTCTTGACAAAAATGAAAAAAGAACTTAATTTCATGATGATACCAATTGATTAGCTAAGAGGATTATACCAATTTTTATCTGTATCCGTGCTAATGCAGTAATGAAGTATTTTCGTTTAGATAACACATTACTACAGCACAGAGTTGGAACTTGGCAATAACAAAAGCCTAATAGTCTGCAAAAACATTAAAGACAAAAGTCTCCCAGCTATCTCGCGCCTTTGGGAAAATATCACCAAAGTTCTGCTACAATCATTCCAGAATTAGCCAAGACACAACTATGAAAATCAATGCGGAAAATACACTCGGCTCGTTCTGTTTCAGTGATTTTCTGAAACACTTTCACCACATTTTACAACTTGGGAGAATCACTTAATATACATCTCATGAAATATTAAATTGCTGTCACTAGAAAAAAATCAAAGAGGATAAGGTTTAGTTATTTTATACTGATTGTTTCTCCATAGTTACTTGGAAACAGGGATCAATGTCAATAAAAAAGATTCTAGACTACTAATTGCAACAGACGTGCAATAATATATATTACAGTTTTGCATGCAGCGAAGGATTATAAAACATATATTAGCACGTTGCAAGGTGTTCACAACATACATGCATAAAAACTGTGCATTCTTGTATCCTTGTAAAATTGTGAAGACAACGGGAAATTTGTTAACCGGGTTATCATACCGGAAATAGAAAAAAAATCAATTTGCTCAACGCAAACTTTGTAAACCAACTTTGATTGTTCATTAATTACATTAAGCTTCATTATATGACTTGTAATTATAGACCACGAATAGATAAAACATCTTCTCCTAGCTCTTACAAACATAAAAAAAAACTAATTTGAAGAACCCCACAGAGAAAGGGATCAAAGTTCGATTAAAAAACACGCCATATCCTTAGATCCGGAGAGAAAAAAAACAACATAGTTTATCTTTAGAGAATAAATCCCCTACAAACCAGTAGAGACTTTTTGTATCTCTGGTTACCTCGACATACGATCTGCCAGTGTAAGATTTATACTTTTTACTTATCATCCATGTTGCTGAAACAGCGGGGGAGTCGAGATAAGTTTATCTTTCTCAAGAGATATCTCTTATTTTTAAGCAAATTTTTCTGTATATTATTTATTTAACAATAATTTCGGGGGTGATTTCGGTATATTTCTCATTTTTGGACCTAGATGAATATTTACTTATTCATACGTTGCTAAGGCATATGCTCTATACAAATGATGTTTCTGTTGGCAGGAATTTTCAAGCATTTTCCATTTTCCCCTTGACCTTATAAAAACAAAAATTACAGTGCATTTACAAGATCAACTCAACAATGTAATGAGTTCTGAAGTATTTTTCAAGTTTTAAACTTGAGGAAACTTTAGAGTTTTAAGAATTTCTAGCATGTCTCGAGTGGTGTAGTGCATTGTGAGGTGATCTTGCAACAGTTGACACAATAGCTTTGGCGGGTCAAAAAGCGATTGGCAAATATAAGGTGTACTAAAAAATAAATAAAACCCAAACAAAATAGTGAAAATACGTACAACCATCGGACATGGAAATCCAGACTGAAAAACCGATTAAAAGTTTGTTTAGACGTTTTCTATCATACAACGTGGGTCAACATTCTTGGTCATTTTGAAAATTTTCAGCAAATACAAGAGTCATTTGATAATAGATCATAAATTTTTACAACCCGGGAAAACAATTAAAATTTGGAGAAGACTGGAGTGAATTTAATTTACTGGCAATAAGTAAAATGATGGAACAGTATGATCCCACGTATTTTCTGTTATAAAAATATCATGACATTGCAATATGGAATACTGGAAATCATCAGCACTGAGAGATACTAATGAAAGTATTAATTTGTCATCGGTCGAAATGTCTGGATGTTAATTAATATAATGTTATTAAAAAACAACATGAAAACAAAGTATGGTTGATACGAATGGTACATTTGAATGAATCAATTACATGTACGACAATTAAACATTATTTGTTGAGATATGCTCAATATAAGGTTGGAAGCCTATATCTTTAGTTTGCTCTCAGCAAAGAATAAAAATCAATATACCTCATTAGTAAGAAGCTTAATAAGCTCAATAATGTCATTTCTGTATCATACTATCCAGCTAATTATTTCAGTTTATTGACATTCGTCTGCTTTCCCCCCAAAACAGTTTATGATGTTTCAATATCGTGTCATACATGTACCATAAATATGGATTTTAATAAATGTCAAACGAGCAGTTGATTTGGTGAAAAACATACGTGATGATAACTGTTTTTAATATGTTGTACTTATAAGTTTAACTAAATGCATGTATCAGTGCAGATAATGAAAAAGGTGAACATAACTTTGTTCACTCTAAGTGGTTTGCCATCAAATTTTCATTGGCTAAGGTTTGACGCGTGCAGTGAAATAGATTCTCGATGAAATGCTTACAAACAAAATGTTATTTAGAATAACAAACAATTTTTAAGGAGCACAGAGCGCTTTATTTTACGTGCTTGAGCTTGAAGATGAAGAGATAATTATTAATGGTCTTGGAGGATTTTCTGTGGAGGCAGACGGAACTATCGCGTCTTGTTGGCATGTGGTTCTACTCGGCATTACCATTATACAACCGTTTTTTTCTTATACACTGTCTTTATTGAAAAGTTGTCAAATTCGGCGCTTCAAAATTGAATAAATGATGAAAAACAGACTATACAACTATGCTCTGGAAAAAAAAAACTCTTTCGACAATTAACGGTTTACAAAACAGTCCGCCCCCTCTTAAAACAAAATCTAGGTCAGAATCTGAAAAGCAACAGTTAATTTATTCTTGAAATTAATCTTTGAATGTAGTCAGTGAAACAAGATGGGGCTAATGATTTTTATCTTTCTATATATGTTCGATTTCAGAGGAAATGCTCCGGACTTCATATCGTTCCTCTAAGATTCATTTTGATCTTGAACATATCCCGATGGCGAAGGCTAATGCATTCAAGTATACGCCCGATTTATTATTTACAGACGCATAAAATAATTCATAAGCTTGCTCTTGGTTTTCCATGTACATATGTTATAGTTAATCACATGCATTTACAATCAGTTAAATAATTTTCCTGCACAGAAAATGTCAGTTGAGTGGGATCCATAACATTGCAACTAGGTTAGTTGGGCAAAGTACATCAATATTACTTTACAAACAATCATTCATTCAAAAGGATTATCTAGTAATCAACCCCCTTTACTATACATATGTGTTCAATTTACATTGTTGTAAAAGGATATAGGTTACAACACGTATCTAATATGAGGACATTTAATTCATGGTATTTGGCCCCGTACCTTGAGAACACCTGTGTAGAATGTTTACAACTCTTTTCTATATATAAATTTGTAGTAGTTCCTGATTACTGAACACAGCCTATACACCTGCATAAATCTTCAATTATTTATAAACATTCCCGCTGTAATAACGACCAGGAAATGGGGTCACGAAATGCATATACCTTCTTTGACGTTGCCTTGTTGCTCCTCTTCTCGTGGGTCTTTGGATGCTTCCGTTCTTTCATCTTCGGAAAGCAGTTCTCCGTTCTCCTGTTCAGCTCGCATAGATTCCCAGGGACCTTCTTGCTCCATGATTAACTGGAATCCAGTTTATTTTTCAAATATCCTCGTAAATTTGTTTGCAAACAAAACGATTTACAACTGAGTGCATAAAAAGTTACGTTTCCATGCGCAGTTACGTATGCCTGGGAAAGTAGCGTAAATTCCTTCTCCTCACATTATCCTGGGCTCTTTGCAGTGCAACAGGGGTTGTTTTCAAACACAGCCGATAATTCTAAATATTCAACGTCGAATGAGCATGAAACAAGTATAAATAATGCATTGGTTAAAACATAGTGTATAAATTCTGTAAGCCTCCTGTGCACAATGGCAGTATAGTCGATCCCAGAGCTTCACATTCTCCAACTTAACTTCCAGCGATGGAATAAAATCCAATACACAGTTTTATTCAAAATAGTGTAATTCCCACTGGAGCAGAAACTTACAATGATTGACACAAGCACTTATCGACCCGATTCGGTTGGCTGATCTTCGTTATATACATACGTATAATTATTCTGACCTTACATATGTTCGTGGTTCCCAATATGACCGGAAACTGTCTTCACTTTGGAAGAAGCAATTCCAATCTCTGAAGTCCCGACTGTGCACTTAGCAAGCAGACGATATTCAGTCCTGTTTGTCCCGATTTAGTTGGATCCCGCGGGAAAACAATCGCTAAGCGGCTGTATAGATTTTACTCCAGCCTATACCGTTGGTCGACATTAGATTAATCAATTAATAAAGCAAAGTCCCTTTCTTTTAACTTCCGCACGAGGCTGCCGCTCGTGAATATTAAGGTTGTTAAATTATCATTGCTTAAAAATTCGCTGTGTAACTGGACTGCCCCTAGACATAATTGAGAAGTAACTACGTGTCATCTTGAACATGTTCGTCAAGTTGTTCAACAATTACTTGTTTTTCCTTATCGGGACAATGGCAACATGTCTTTCAATGGAGTCTGGATTTTTAAAACGAATGCAAATTTAAAATGAAAATATTAAGATTGTTTAAAAGCTTTCATTTAAAAAATGTTCCGTGAATAGAAAAGCACCGTTCTTTGAAATAAAGAGAGCATACTCACAAAATGCAAGAAAAGATCTAGATTTGTTTATTGGGTCTATGTTATTTGTTGGGACATAAGGTACTCTAAAAGAAATTCTGCATTCTACACAATTTTGCTGGGAGTTTTGTTTTCCAGAAGCCAATTTCAAAACATGTAATTTGAGTATATATGTGCAGCAGGTATATATCATTTCTTTATGTGCAAGTTTTTTAGGCTTAGTCTAGTAGAACAATCCTTAGCTTTACTGCATGAATTTTAATTTGGAAGACATAGCGCTAGCAACCATCAGCAAAGACTAATTAGAGACTGAAACTTAGCAAGAGATATTATTTTGGGAAAACCGATACACTTGATAAATTAATATCACATATAATCCTTGGTTAACCTAAGATTTAAATATCAAACATTGTTTTATATTATGTTTATTTTTAAGGTTTCGTTATGTTTAATAACAAATGCATACTTGTGACAAATTATATACGATGCCAGATTATTGACAATTCCAATATGGCCACTATAAATCATTTGAATTACCTACTTTTCTGTCTGTCTGGCACCATTACGCTTATTGCCTAACACAGGGCATAGTTAATTCATTTACACATTACCGTCTGAATGTCACACGAAGGACCACAAAGACACTTCCATTAACGGTCTGGCAAACCTAATTAGAGACCAGCTAAAAGAAAATTTGCATTTTACCTATTAACCTATTATTAATGCCTACAGCTTCATTTGTCAAATGAACAAAAATTGTTCTTCTTTCAAGGGGTTTGTGTTCTTTTTGCTTTATGGTATTTATTGTTAGAAAGTTACTACATGTACATGTAGCTACATGTATTTGAACAAGAATAAGTATCCCAAATGCAACCGAAAGAAATGCGCAAAGAGATAATTCATGAATATATTCATTAATTTTATTTCTTAAACAGACGGTCTTGAAAAAACATAAAACCAAATTTAAGACTTATACTTCCTTAACTTAAATGTTAATTTTTACTTTTTAGATAGACAGAGGACCCACACACAATTTCTCACATTTTTTTTTTAATTTCAGAATGTCAAATGTTACGAGACAAATAATTCACAAACAGATAAATATGTACAAATGTACATTAAATTTACATTTCAAGCACTGCATTTTAATTAGTTTTGATGTATGCAGACACGTGAAGAGGCAGACAATAAAGATCATTACAAGGTCACGCGTCATCTTAACTAATTATCCGTACTTTCCAGAGAGAGAGAGAGGGGGAGGGGGTACGGAAACATATTAAACGTTTTGACTTTTGACAAGACGAAACCCAAACCAATACGTGGTATATCCATTTTTATGCAATCTATTACCAAGTAACACATAAATGGCCACAATCAAGAAATGAAAATGACCGATTACAACTTGAGGCGTTTACCCAGATCAGACAAATAGATATTGAAAGTGAATATGGTTCCTTGAAATAAACCCTTTACATATACAGGTGAAAAGGTCGAGAAGAAGATTGACCATTGACTACCCCTTAGAGCAGGACTGACATAAAAAAGGGTTTACTTGTGATAATTGTAAAGTCGTTCAGCTTTGAAGAAAAACTTTTAAAACACCGTATTGTAAAAATAGGGAAAATATCAAAAGAAAGCAATATTCAGACAACTTAGTATTGGGTATTGCATACATGCAATATCACATTTCCTAATATTTATTGAAGAAATCTCATAGCAATTTAAGAAAAATTCTTCCGCCAAAGTTATTGTCTATATATGATTCGATACATTCTGAATAATGTATTACACTTTTCGGGGCGAAACTCCTTTAATTGTTTAAAGAAAGAAATTAAAATTTTTAAGTTTCTCACAGCCTTATAATATCCTTGATTTACAAAAGCTTCCAAAGTAGATGAGTTACCATTGAAACTGCTAACAGTTTATGTAATATTTGATATATCATTCAAATTCAAAGGACAAGTAAAGACTATTGGTTTCCATGCATCGCTCAATGATATTATCCGGAAAGATCATGTGAAAAATACTATAGTAGTATCTCAATGGGTTTTACAACTAACTTGGATAAAAAAAATCTAAACTTTTCGTTCATACATATTTCTCCAACCCTTTAACAATCTTTAGAACAAACATTGCAGTTTGCAAAAACCCTTTCATAAAACAAATTTTAGGTAAAGAGTTAGGCAAATAGGCATGCAACTATCGTCACCTTATAAAAATGCTTGCAATCTACTGCATTACTCAATGCAAAAAAAAAAAAAAAATAATAATAAATAAACAGCGACAAATACCAACCAGTCAATGCTCGTAGTGCGAGACTACTGAATAACCTTAACCGTACTCGTAAGAAGAAAAGTTTTCTTCTATCTTCTTGCCGACGTTTTATTTCCCGTGAAGAAAATTATTATTTGCAAACTATGATAACTATATTGTTAGAGAAATCTCTGAACATTTTACACAGATGGAATACATATGGTGTTGAACAATAGTCATTGTCCCTTTAGCCAGTAATATAATAAAAATATTATTACATCAAGTAATACTCCACATTATTTGTGTGACCGAAAAAGGGGGAAAATCAATAAAAAGGGAAAGTATATAAATATTGGTCGGCAGATGTCGCGAAACACAAAATACAGCAACAATACGTACAAAATATGGTCGGAAAATGAACCAAGGACTTCGGCTTTACAAGGTGACCTTGGGAACTTTATATGAATGTCACATAAAATTTTGGACCTTTACACAATATAATATGAAGATTTTATTTCGACAATGAACGTCGGAATGTAAATCCATCACTAAAGAATATAATGGATGGAGAACTTTGGCGCAAATCATGTACATTTATGGGTTTATGCTACAAGATTTTTTTTTATATTAAAACTTAAAGTAAATTTTCAAACGTATGACTGTGTAGTTGTCTACAATGCGAAATAATAAAAGCAGAGAGAAATGAATGATCAGCTTAAAAAAGTACAATTAAAATTAAACAGTATATATAAATGACATAGTACATGTACTATCATTTTAAAAAGTATACCATGTAACATTACTTTACCTATGTCGATAAAATAGCGGTTTTAAATTACGTAGCAATTTTGTCTACAATGTGCATAGCCATGTCGGAAGTGTCAACATAAATATGCATAGAAGTGTATGTTAAGTACATATCTTCATGTCTACCTTGTCAAACTGAATGAGTCTTTAATTCATTACAGATTGAGTCTTCATTAAGAATGCAGAACTTCTAACGCTTTTTTATAAATCACCGGTACTACTTACCATACCACAATCGGTTCTTCATTATTAATCTGCTAGAATGGCTAACATATCCTAAGATTAAACAAAACGAAAAGCGGTCCTATAATCGAAAAAATGTAACTCCGACCACTTAAACCATTCCAGATGGGTATTTAAACTGGGTAGATAGCAAAACAATTGGTAGACGTATATGTATATATTAATGTACTACTAGATTTGGTTCAGCATCGTTGCACACAACTGAACACAAATATCAACGCCTTAAAATGACTCGAAATATACTGCAGTCATTTAAAACTTTATCCTCATCAAGATCTCTATTTCAAATAACAGAGGAAGTACCTAAGTACGGTACACAAAAATGGAAGTATGCAGTTATAGTCATGCACGTTTTAAGTACAAGTATAACGATTAAAAGATTTGAAATACTTGAGCAGATCAAGAATCTAGGTGACAGATGTAAGTATTAGTAATCACATGATTATCAGACGTTTTAGTCGTAATGACTTCCGTTCATTTATACTCACTGAGACACACATAAATATATAAACTACTAGTTATATAGTATCTTTGTCCCCTTAATTTCATTAGGTACTATCAGATCTACAGTGAACTTTTTATATTCATAGAATGAAAATTAATGTAGTGAGAGACTTTCAGTGGTACATAATAGTCGTCAATTGAATTCCATTATAAAGTAAATCCATATATGTACTGTGTTATTAAACACGGACACATATGAATTGAATATGGTTAATTTCGGCTGCATCAAAGTGAAGAGTATTACATATACAAGTATGACGGTTCACCAGCTTAGTACTTCAAAGAGAAAAATACCAGTTTCTCTGGAATAGAAAAGAACGCTTGCATTTTTGTCATTTAAACACAATCAACTTGAATAAACACTAGTTTCAAATAATCGATGGCAATGAAGTAAACAACTTCCTCGCTTTTGTAATATGGTCAATTTACACTACACTTATGTCCTGCTTGTGAACGTTAACGCACCTGAAACACTGTATAGTCTACTTGTCAAAAGAACTACTTTTAAATGCATGAGCATTGTGAATTTATACATGTACATCGTTTTCTTTTTCTGCTCTTATTTTTCCTTCTTCAAGTGCAGTAGAATGATTACGATAAATCGACGATTACCGGAATTCGATCAGTGGGTCCTAATTTTATCGATATTTAAATTTTCTTATAGTAAACACACAACCATACTCACAAAGCTGCAAAAACAAGGATGTGTTTATTTTAATGCACAGTAGAGAGGGACTGCTTATTACTTTCTGTACTAAGAAAATTCCGACAAAACGCCAAAGGTGTGATTATAAATTATCGAGCAGGGAGACTGCATTATGTGCAGATGTAACCCAAATTTAATTTAAATCGTTGTTTTAAATCGTTATTGTTGTCCACTCCTTCTCCCTGACATTGTGAGGGCATGAGTATTATATAGATGCTTAAATGAGCT